GAACATTTCCTATACAGTCGGTTGTTCACCATAGACAGTTTTGACTCCGCCAGGTGTTGGGAATTTCAGTGCCTGGTGTAGTGTCGAGGGCACCGCCCTCATGTTGTCGGATCCATGGCCTCCCGAATAAAGCATTATACCTCATGTCCCCTTCGATCACATAAAATTTGGTCTCCTTGATGATCCCGACGGTATTTACCGGTAACGTTATTTCGCCCTTAGTGGTCTCACATGCCATGTTGAATCCGTTTAGAACTCGAACTGCAGGCACGATTTGGTCTTGTAGACCGAGTTGCTCCACGACCCTTGATCGAATGATATTGGCTGAGCTACCTGGATCAATTAATACACGTTCAACCCGAATTTTATTTACGAGTACAGATATTACTAGTGCATCATTATGGGGTTGTACGATTCCTTTCGCATCCTCATCGCTAAAAGATAAAGTTCCTTTCGGTATGTAGTCTCAAGTTCGTTTCTCCCTAGTGATGGATACTTTGGTGCGTTTCAACATCGGCCCCTGTGGGATATCAACCCCACCGATGATCATATTAATGACGTGCTGAGGTTCTTCTTGTTTTGGCTATTTGTTAGAATCTATGTTCCTGAAATGATTCTTGGCTTGGTTGCTCAAGAATTCTCGAAAGTGTCCATGGTTGAATGGTCGGGCTACTTCCTCCCTCAGCTGTCGACAATCCTCCATTCTGTGACCGTGAGTGCCATGATATTTTCATATCTAGTGAGGATACCTTTGGATTGGATAGGATTGTAGAGGTCGGGGCCATTTGGTATCTTTGATGAGCCCGATAGCTGATACAATGGCGGCAGCATCGACATTAAATTTGTATTCCGACAGCCTCGGCGCTTCTTTCGGCCCGATGGGTCTGTCGAAGCTGTTTTTGGTCATGATTTCCCGGTTGCTTTGTCCTCGGTCATTTCTTATTTCGTTTCTTATGTCATTCCGCCCGGACTCACTGCTTCTCCGATCTCTATTATATGGCTGATACCGATCCCTGTTTGGTCTCGATTCATGATCGAAGTCTCTCTTGATTCTGTCGAGGGTTCTGACAGGATAAACAGACCCCGAGGGGCCCCCAAGTGGATTGTCTTGATATCGGTTATACACATCGGCCCACGTAACGGCAAGTATTCTATCAGGTTCTGCTTCAGCTGCTGTGAAGCCACCGAGCTTTGAATATTGAGTCCCTAAGTGAAAGCTTGAACAGTCCAATCATCAGCGACCGGTGGCAGATTCATTCGTTCCATTTGAAACCGGGACACGAACTCTCTAAGCAACTTGTTTTCCTTCTGTTTGACTTTGAAAATGTCAGATTTCCTGGTCTCGACCTTGATGGCATCAGCGTGTGCTTTTACGAAAGAGTCTGCAAGCATAGCAAATGAGTCAATAGAATTAGGAGGCAATTTGTGGTACCATATCATAGCTCCCTTTGACAAGGTCTCTCCAAATTGTTTCAGCAGAATGAACTCGATTTCATCGTCCTCCAAATCGTTCCCTTTGATGGCATATGTATAAGAGGTCACATGCTCATTTGGGTCGGTCGTTCTGTTATATTTAGGTATCTCGGGCATATGAAATTTCTTGAGTATCAGCTTCGAAGACGCGCTCGGAGAAAAAGGTTTTTGCACGAACTTCCTGGAATCCAGGCCTTTCAATATTGGAGGCGCTCCTGGGATTTGGTCTACCCTGGAGTTTTAGGTCTCCACCGTTTTGTCATTAGCTTCGATTTTCTTTTCCCAAGATTCTACCTATTTCGTCAGCTCCTCGAGCATCGTTATGATCTCGAGGTTAGCCCCTGATTCGAGTTCATTTGTCCTTTTTATCACCGGTTCATCCCTGTGGGTGACTTCCCGAGGCGGATCGGGCTCAACCCCGCTTAGTGCACGGCCCTGGTTCTCCAACTGAGCTATCGCCGCCTATTGAACTTGCATCATTTCGAAGATCACTCATAGACTGATCCCGTCTCCTTCAATGTTTTGTGTGTGTCGAGTTACCGATCGGGCTCCACCACGAACGCTATTTTCAGGGTCGGTAGCAAGTTTGCGTTGATAGCCACATGTGAATTGACGTCGATCGGATCTACGATCGGAATTCCAACGGGATCAGCATGTGGTACCTCATTACCGGTCGCTATGTTGTTGTTTTCATTTTGATGACCGGACTCGTTGTCAACATATAGGGGTGCTGATTGAGAGTTTGATATTTTGTGCTTTAGCCTGGAATCAAAGATACTTCAAAGAGCAAGTGTAAAGTAGTATGTATTATGAAGATTCGTATCAAATAACCACTATTATCCTTAGCCCCACGGTGGACGCCAAACTATTTACCCATAAAATCGGATAACAATTGAGTTTGTACGTAATTTTAAGGATACGTGATCTAACTTGATACAAAATAGGAAATTAGATTACAATTAAAATAAATAATGAAAAAATAAATGCAAACCGCACAAGTCGAACAATCTTAGCTTTGAAGATTAGTCACGCTCGAGTTGGAAATGCTTTTACTGATGTCGGAACGGAATAACAAGATAATGAAAACTAGAAATAATAATGTATTGCTTTGTGATGCGCGTTACCGTATTTTTAATGAATTATCAGACCCCCTTTATATAGTAGAGGAGTCCTATTCTAGGTACATTTCTATAAAAGGTAAAAAAATCTCTTGATTTGCTGATTACCGGTTCCTTGCTGATACGTGCCGAGATTCTCGCCGTAATATCCGTCCGGTCGCGGATATTTCGGTCTTCTATTAGTTATCCTCGAGCTCGTTCGAGGCTAAGGTCGACACCGGACTCAATTTTCCTCGAAGGCAGGTTTTCCGACCTCAGGTTCTAGCTCGGTGAAACTCGAGGTCGATCTTTAGTCCGTGGTCGCCATGTTTCGAACCTAATCTACCAAGTTGAAGTCTAGCTCGACTTTGACCGTATACAATCCGTATTAAATATGTGTTAGGTCGGATAATTTATCCGTTTTTTTATTACCCGTTTTTGACCCGTTACATATCTGATCCGACCCGCTTGTTTGGCACCCCTATTGTAGACTACATCTTGTATAATTTTGGTAAATACGTGAAATAATAATTACGTTTCAGTTCCAAATAAATTGGAATTGAGTAATTGGTACGTAAGTTAGTTATAGAAAAAACGTGCTTTTTCCTTAGTAGTTGTTCTGGCTTCGCCAATGCACTTACATGTAATTGTGAACTGTCTTCGGATATTTACTTAGGCAATTCGAGATTTTTCATTCTTTAATTATGAGTTAAGTATGACTAAAGTCTCCTCTCAAGTAAGATCAATCTGGCCAAAAGATATTCACTCTTACCAAGACCTTTTACCCATAGTTACCGCTCCATCTTCAACAAAGAACAGAATGACTTTTCTCGGATGAAAGCTTTTTACCTTTTCCAATTGTACATTTTCGTTAGGCAAAAAAAAAAAAAAAAAGGAAAGGACATTTCTATTTTGATGATGATCGACCTCCTTCCTATTATGCCAATACTAGTACCATTCCACCTATCATCTTCCCTAGAAAGATGGAGTAATTCCTTTACAAACTTTAGGCTTTGGATTTAGGATCTCACCTATCATTTGTCTCTAATACTCCCGTTTCATTATGTTAACGGATTCGGACTATAAGGTCCAAAATTAATTTGAAAAAGATTATTAAGTGAAAATTATACGAAAACTAGAAAACTACTACTAGTATAAATTAGCATAGTTGATAATTCATAATAATTAAAAAGAATTTAAGAAAATTATTGTGAATGAAAAATTGTTTGATTGTCCAATAGCATAACCTTCTAATAAAATGGGACAAGAAGAAGTATTATTTCCCTGACTTCACTAATTGTTGTTATCTTCGATTCAGGTTCATTAGTCATTACTCATTCCACTTGGCTCTGAATCTTGAACAAAATCTCAGTTAAAGCTTTGGATATGGTTGATTGACTAGGTTAAGCACTAGTTTTTTGTTTGTTTGTTTTTTTTTTGTAAAATTTAAGCCTCAAATTATAAAGGAATTTCATATGAATTCTAGGCTGTGTTTGGTACGAAGGAAAATATTTTGCGAAAAATGTTTTCCAATTTTTTCGTGTTTGGTTGGCCNATATATTATGTTGGTTTGATTCGGATTTTTTTACTCAATACCAAATCTAATCGAGTTTTTTAATCGATTTGGTTTGACTTTTCGGATTAATTCGATTTTTCAGTTCTGTTTGTACGCCCCTAATTGCATTGTCCCACACACCTTGTCCTCTTATAGTGGGATTAATTGAAAATGGCCCATTAAGTAGCTCCATTATATTATAGAGTAAAAGATTGATGCTGCCATAACACTAGCTTACAATTTCCAGATAGAAGGAAGTTTAAATTAATTTTCTTCAAAATGAATTAGGATTAATTAATTTTCCTCAAAATGAAATTGGACTCATATCATAAATAGAAGACTAGTTAAGCCATTTGATAATGACATCCTAATAATATATCATACGTCATACGTTATTTTAGCTTTTCTATAGGAGTTATTAAAAGACATTTGACAAGTGATGGCTGATCAATCAATTTCATAATTAGCTATGCTCTCTTTTTTTTCTATTCTTTTTCTTTTCTAATTTTTTAGGGGTGGATGGGCCTATGAATGATGATAAAAAGGTAAAAGAAAGAGGGCTTTTGATATATTGAAATCATGTACTACTACATAATATTAAGTTACAATTATCAAATTGTAATTCCAATTCCAAGCAACTATATGTCTCGTAATTTAAAACTTTTGAAACTGTTGTTCTTTATTTCTTTTACTAGAGCATTATGATTGTCCAGAAACCAAAATGCAGGTGGAATCATTACGTTGGAGTCATTGGCAGGGGCAGAAGAGTTTAGGAACCGAACCCACTAGTTTTGATTAATATATGGAGTACAAATTATTAATTTAAAATTAGTAAATTAAAGGCACTAAATTTGGGTCCGCCTCTTAATTCATCATCTTCATCCAAATTCCAAACACTGTTCTATTAACAGATCATAAAAGAGGTTAAAAGCACTAAAAATGGGGAACACAGAATTATACTTGGGCTCAGTCACAGCCTGGTTGACTCACTGAGCCTATCTATATTCATTCGGCCTGAATCATTGCCAAAGAACAAAAAAAATTACACTAGCAAATTAAACAACTGTATCAACATTTGCCTCTAACCCTGCCAATAATTACTGAACCGTTCAATTTGAACAAATAATTAATTAATCATTTGGGTTAGCCGTTGAATCCAGTCTGACTCCAAACTGCATTTCTGACTCGGCTCATGTCTCGACCCTTCAGTGTCCGGCCCACACCTTCAAATACCGAGTTAGTAGTTGATTTTCGGGACCGACCGTGCCCACGAGCCAAGTATTCATGTGGCGGAACGATCTCCAACTCATGATCATCGACACCATCGTCCGAGTCGTGGAATGACTCGACCGAGTCGACCCGATATATCTTGGACCAATCAGGGACATTCACTGGAGCTGAGAATGCCATGTGGCGTTCACTTGGGGATTGCGCTGCCATGCTGTCTTGTCCACGAAACTGGTGTAGGATCCGAGATGGCGCCGTTTTACCTGAATCATCAAACGCCAATGACAAGCCTCCAGCTTGGCGGCAGCTCCTAAAACTACTGAAGCTTCCGTTACTCTCTGCGGTGGCGCGTGCCTCCCAATCGCTCCTAGAGCCATTCACCAAATGATCATCGCCCGTTGACCAGACATCATCTTCTCCCAACTCCGAGGTTTCGTTGACTGTTTCGTTTCCATGATTGTAACTATAGCTTCCTAAATACCTTTCACTCATACTGGCGGTCAGTTGACCTTTTGTCATTTTAATTTCACCTCTATATCTAATTATAGATACTTTACTTTCCGGTAATTGTGAAAAAACAATACTCCTATGTTATGTATATATAATAGTATATGCTTTCTTTGAATAAATCAGGGCACCGGAATCTTGATTTTCCGGCGACCCCAGAAAAAGATACATAATAGAAAATTGTTGTCTCTGTTTATATGATGTAATGTAATATATATAATAATATATCTCTGAGGGAAAGCAGTAAAGTGTAGACTCAGCTTCAAGGCTGGTGATGTGTGTGTACATATATATATATAAGCTGTGATGGCGAGAGGATGGGAGTTAATTTGAATTTCATGTGAATTTGGAGTCCATTTTGTCATCATTTCATAAATGTTACTATGGTCGTATGGCGAGCATGTGGTGAGAATAGAAGACGAGCACGAAACTGTAAAATCAAGTGAAAAAAATAAGGAAAGGAAAAGGAAAAGCCAATTTGGCAGAGGTGATGACGATGGATTTACACAGAAAAAAGGGGGAGATAGCATGACAGGTGTCAATTACTCGACGGACAACGTCTTGTCAGATTGGATTAATAATACTATTTGAATTTTATATATCCACTAGCATAATAGATTGATTGTTAGACAATCAGCACAATTTAATATGCTATGGAGGACTACTTATATGATCTTTTAGCTTATTGATTTTATTAATTAAAGATAGTTTCTCTTTTTAATTATTTTTAAAGCGGTTTGATAACATAACATTCATCTATGTCTTCAATTTTTAAAGTTTGAATTTTACTACTCCATTAGAGGAGGACTTAAATAAGGCATTAGCAACTATATTTTAATTCACGTTAGATTGAGTGATATATTAAACATGTTAACAATATTACTTCTACATGTACAGGTTCAGCTCTAAAAATTTTACTTGTAAATTTCTAAATATTAGTTAGGAAATTCTAAGAAAATTCTCCAAGGCTTCATCAATATTTCCCTTTATAGTAATTTACCACACCTATATATAATTTTTAAACATTACACTCATCTCCAGTTCAATTTTTTGTTTCATTGTAAATTCTTTTACAGCTATTTGCAATGTTAAATCTTATTCAATATTTTCACGTGTGATCTGAGAACACTACTAAAAAACTATCAAAAAGCGTCCAAAGCATATCGATCGACATTGGTCGGAAAGAAATACCGACTGATATCGGTCGGAAACAAAGTAAAATGGTCGAAAAAATCAAATAAAAAATTATAAATAAGAATATCGACTGCAATCGGTTGGTTAATGTGGTCCCACAAAAAAGAAAGTTTGCTTTATCTGACACAGTTAAAATTTTTGACCGACTTCGACCGGAAAAAGGGTCAATCTTTGACCAATGTCTGGTCAGACTTGCATACTATCTACAAAAGAAATGATTAATTAAAATAATTATAGAATACCGACCGATGCCGGTCGAAAATTTTAATTTATTTTTTTTCGCCCTACGTCAATTATTTATTTGATAATAAAAAATTATTTATCATATAATTATAAAAATACCGACCGATATCGGTCGGATATACTAATTTATTTTTTTCGCCCTGCGTCAATTTTTTTTTTTTTTTGATAATAAAAAATTACTTTTAAAATAATTATAAAAATACCGACCGAAATCTGTTGGTATTAGTTGTCCAAATGATAATATATTATTGTTACACACACATACACCATGTGCACTCGGCGTATGTTGACGTCGAAACCAGTCTCATAACCCAGTTCTCGAGGTGGGGAACAACACCCGGCATCCAAGCAACGACTGCATCGAGAAAAACACTGATAAGAAAGGATAAAGAAGTAAAAACAACGAACAGAAATTAAATATGGAATCATACTTACGCTTCATATTTCACTTCTCAGGAAATGGCATGCTCTCAGCCGAGATTAGGTCCATGGTCTTCACCCGAACGAACCGGCCCATCCAGCCCCGATCTTTATCTTCATCTATACTCGAGATGAGCGTCTTGACGGCCCGACGTTGAAGCTTTATTAGCCCACCTCGATAGAGTCGAGGGCTATATAATCTTATAAGGTGGTCAAAGGCGAAAGCAAGCCCGTCGATTTTGCTCACGAAGAAACGGATCAGTATCACGATCCTCCAGAAAGAGGGGTAAATTTGACCAAGGGTCACCTGGTATTTCTTGCAGAAGTATACGATGATCGGATCGAGGGGACCCAGCGTGAAAGGATAAGTGTAAACACTCAAAAAACCTTCCACGTGGGTGGTGATCACTTCTTCTGGTGCCGGTATCACAACCTCTTTGTTTCCCCAGTTGCAATCTTTCTTCACCTCGTCGAGGAGGCTTTTGGGTATCGAGCATATATATCTCGATATCGGCTTGCATCGACCAGGAACCGATGAGATTTTCTCGATCCTAAAGTCGGAATCTATGACACACCCCCGTGAATAAGTTCTTCAGGGTGTGGCTCCACCACTGGTGTCTCGCCGGCCGGCCGAGATGAGAAAGCAGTTTCTTTCTGCGGAACAGTTTTAGATGTTTTGGCCATTTAATTTTTGTGGGCAAAGAAGAATGGAGACCGAAGTATTTAGTGTTTTAGGAAGAACAAGCAAAGAAACTCAAAAATTTGAAGATAGGAAGCTTAGAAGAAAGCAAAGAATTATGGAGATTGGAATGAAGAAGATTTGAAAGTAAAGTTTGAAATAATGAAGAAGGGGGCTATTTATTATTTTCACAATGACGGTTCAAAACTGGTAGTGGCCGACCGTCAACTGACGCGCATTAAATACCTGAAAAACTATACCAACGAGACGTTTCTGTCACTTCTACTACTTATGTCACGACGATTACGTCATGATCGAAGGCTCAAATCGTTTCTTGTCATTACTCTCCAAACAATGAGGGGACTATCTGTATACGATCAAAGTCGTGCTTACTCGATTTTATATGGTTAATCGAGACCGGGGTGACAGACCGAGGTTTAATCCCAAGTAATATTGGATCGTTGCATGAATAAAAATTGTCTAGCTCGTGATTCAGGGATCGATCGAGATTGAGACCAGCTAAGGTCGAGACCAAGAAGGATAGGGATCTAGCGAGATCGAAGGAAGCCTGCTAAGTCGAATAACAGAAAGCCGAGGAATCTGTGACCGGGCAAGGATTGTTGCGGATATCTCGGCATATATCAAGTCAAGACTGATTGATTAGCCAATCAGAAGATTTTCTTCTGTATTTAGAATTGTACCATATGTAGAACTCCTCTACTATATATAGGGCGGGGTTCAAATCATTTTGTAGGGGGTTCACGCATAACAAAGTAATATATTACGTTTTCTCTATTAAGCTCTCTTATTCAGTTGTTCAGTTCTTGCTTCTCAATAATATACTCAGTTGGTTCGAGGGCGACCTAGCTCGAGGGTCAAAGTTGCGCGTTACATTGGTTTGCTTCATTTTATAATTAATTTCTAACTTCAATTCTTATATTTCTCAGTTTGTGCCAAGTGAAATCACATATCCTTATAACCACTTACAAATTTAATTGTTATCCGATTTTAAGGGTAAACACGTTCATTTCTAGCTTTTCAAATCATCCACATGATAGATACAGATAATTGAATTAATTTAATAATGTCAAGAAATGGCTCAATACTTGCAAACAATTTAGCCCACAAATCTGAAAAATCAGAAATATATTGCAAATCGGGCCAACGAACTAGACTCAATTTCCGCTAGGACATCGAAAAAATATGTGTTCGAGAGTGTTTCAAATTCCGATCCACTGATCCACAAACTGGACATGTTCCACCCGCACAAATAGCGAATAATTCTACCAATCACATTCTTCTTCTAATTCGTCCTCCCGAGTGGATTGCGAGATGAGAATCACCCAGCGGTGTTGATGAAGAATTGAATCCATGATTGTAGTATTTTTTTTCTTGTAAAATTATAAATTAAATTGCATCTTCAAGGTTGTTACTGATAAAATCCTTTACAGTGCCTTACATATTATTGAACATGTTATGTTCAATCATTTTCGCAGGCCATTCTAATATATTAGTATCTATTTGTAGTGTTATACACCCTTTTCTCCTTTTTTGGTTCAACCATCTATTATCCCAAAGGACCGAAACGCTTCGGCTAAGCCAGATTCGTTTTGCATGGGACCCATTAAGGTGGAAGTATTCTCTATTATGATTTTCTTTATTTTTATGGCTTGAACCCGAAAGTTTTGATTAACATCGAAGAGAATTCATCCATCCCATCACATTCTTTAGTGGTGCCTCTTTTCCTCGGGTTTAAACTCAAAACAATGAATGGATTTTTGAACAACATCCACTGGTTGAGGCACTTAACTTTAAATTAGATGTTACATGCATCAAGAAGAGTTCCATAGAATATTCTCCATGTCGACTGCATGCTTCAGTTCACTTTCTATTGGAAAATCATGGCTTCCCTTTAAAAATCAGCCCAATAATTGGGCTTCTGGCTTCCTTTTTCTGTTTTATTATTTTCTCTTTGGTTGGATTGTTCAGGCTTCAGCATTTCATTAGTTATTAGAATTTAGACATTAATTTAATTTGAAATCGAAAATCAGTCGTATTTGCAGATTGTGTTAACTGATAAAAATTGTCAATGTAGGAAAAAATAGTTAAAAACGAAAAAAAAGACTGTCCCCCAATGTTTCCTAAGTGATCTCACGGGTTACAGAAGCATTAATTTTTCTTTTTTACATTCAATCATTATCTGAAAAAGGGGATATTCTAGCATTATGCTAAATTGTTGCGTATTATTTTGAATTATCTAATGTAATTGCTAAATAATGAATCATTAACATCTCTCTCATTAATGTAACTAATCTGAGTTGTTACAAGAAAAGTTTTGAGCAATAGTTCGATCTGTTAATCTTAATATCGCACTGTCACTGTGCACTGATGAACCGGATGGTCATCAATTAAAAGTCCATTAGCTAAATTAGAATCCATTAGCTAAATTAGAACAAAATAAATATCAATTTGATATATCTTTCAACAAAAAAAAAAAATGTGACTCTATTTTTATATCGAATATATATTGCTCGTCTGGAATTAAATGTCATCATTTTTATCAATGTCGCCACGTGGCCCACGTCTATTATACAGATATATCCACCACCTATTCTTGAGATAATATAAATGTAATTAAAGCGGAGGTATACTTGATCAATTACATTGTATTAAATATTTTATACGATGAAACATCTCTGTAACAACATCCTTATACAATAGTTATTTACTATAAAAATTAATTTTTTAATTTTTATGTTATATTTTAATAACAACTTTTTACATATAACAACAACATCCATCTTTATAACAATACGTTCTTTATAAAATTACTCCTCTATAGCAGCCATATAGA